TTGCCTTCTTTAGCTTTATTATTGCCAGAATGAGATGTAATGGTAAAATATTGGTAACACTTATTGAACAACTCTAGAGTTGCCTAAACATGATGACCAATTTGACTGAGAATTACTGAGCACCGTTATGATCCTTCTGTGTTTAGTGGAGATATTTAGTGTACAGTTCTGGCATTCATAAAACCACAGACATACAGTAAGAAGAATAGAATAATAAATAAACTGTTACATTTTGAATAGATTGTTCTTTCTTCTATGAAGGAACATGTTCTTGGACATGTTATCTATTTCATTTTTTTAAACTTTTTGTTAGTCTAAGGCAAATATATTTGTGTTAATCCTGCAATAATAATAATAGTAATAATAATAATAATAATAATAATAATAATAATAATAATAATAATAAAATGTAAATATGATTTCTCCCAGACATGCTCACTTATACACAAAATGAAATGCTAGTCAGAATGCTCAAGGTTTAATGTGGAATGACTTAAAGAACATGCAACGTTACACTGCAAGGTGACGCCCAACACCTTTTTATTTTTCCAATAATCTGATGCAGAACTGCACTGCTTTGTAAAACCGCCAGGAGGCGCAGTGAACGCTTAACGTGCCATGTGTCTAACATACTGTACAGTAAAGTATTAAACCATTAGTGCTTTTCTGAGATAGTCATACTGTACAGTAACACTAACATAATTTTTTTCATTAATAAAGTATACACAATTAATGGAATTTGTGTGTAAATAGTCATTAGAAAAGATCATTCTTTTAAATGGCAAAATATACATAGTGACTTTAAAAAAATATTGCATTTAAAAGCAAAAGAGGTTAGGAGTTCTGAATGACTCGGAGAAGTACAGTCACATATTTTAACCTTGTCAGTGTGAAGCATTGGCTGTTTAGTGGATGAATGTCACATGAAACACCAGGGTTCAAATCCTGGCCAATGTGCCTGTCTGTGGGGATAATCTGTCTCCGATAATACAAATAAAATTTGTATACTATATTAACATTTTTATTAATTGTATAAGATAATATTAGTATGATAATATTAGTATAATAATATCAAATTATTAGTAAAAATAAAAACCTTTCAAATGGGGGGTCCCTTGTGAATTCCTTCTGCACGTGCGCCAGTGACAATAGACCACTGAGGCCGTGTCCCAACTGCTACACTTCCTGTTCCTGCTCATGTCTGCAAATACAAACAAAATATTTCTGTCAAAAATTGACTAGCTGAAGCGCAAGGTGTCTCTAATAAGCCATCCATCCATTTTCTAATTGCTTTATCCAATACAGGGTCATGTTGGTATTGTGATCCACACACCCACGTGTTCATAACAACTCACTCTGTACAGGAGCCAACAGTTAACGTCTTGCGCCCGTATTCACAACAATTGATCAAAACATTTTAGGTTTTTTCACCTGCATGAAGTTAAGTTTGTGGAAAAGGCAAAAAAAGAACGAGAAACTGTAGATTGTTTCATTAATGGATTTGGAAATGCACACAGTAACACATATCAACCAAGGAGAAAACACCTCACTGATATAGTAGTATGACTGTCATTAAAATAAGATGCTGTATTGAAATTTAAGACTCCAGCCTCATTGCTCTAAATTTGGGTGTTAAGTGTTGTAAATCTATGTGTCCAGAAAAATGGTTAAGTCTTGTTAACGTGTTTTGTAAAAAATAACGTCAATCTCCAAAATCACACAGAATATGACATTTTCTTTTGATGAAATGTTCACATACTCTACTGTGTGGGAGTTACAGGACTATTTCTGCTTCTGAGTAGGTTTGGTGGTATTTTTATTCACTTTGACTAAAATCATAAATGAATTGGATACATTTCTATACAGTAAGTGATTCTGATCTTGTCTAGTCCCAAGCATCAAAATGTACAATATGAGACATTTTTAACATGATATGCAATGCTGATTTTGACTTGCTTTAATTCACCAGTGTCTTCTATACTTTTAAACTTTTATTTTTTTTCTCAGTAGATGCCAGGAAGTTGCCCAGTGTGTTTTGTGGGAATTGGAGGTTCTAAGCTCATACAACGTCAATGAGTGATCAATCTGTTCCAATACCTGCCTCTACTCCACTTACCCAATTACTCCAAGTAAAGAAAAAAAAGGGCAGCTACACACACAAAAATAGATAAACATTTTAGCTTTTAATTATAAACCTTCAGGATATTTTTTCCTGAATTTCAGAAATTATCTAGTGTTTCACACAGATGTGCTTTCTTTCTACCATGATGCCTATCCAAATCGTCCCCCATCCCCACAAAATTAACACAAGGTTAATTTGCATTTGAATAAACACTAAATGTTTACAGTGGGAACAAGTTGTAAAATATTTGTTCTCTTATAAATTATCAGTTAATATACAGTAATGTTAGAATGAAACCTCTGGTCCTTTGTAAGCTGCTCTGAGTTCATTCACTGCTACAGGCTGTTTCACCTGTTCTCTTGTTCTTTGTCACCAAATTAGGATATCAGGAAAACAAAATCTCAGCGTCATCTCATTTCTCATGTTTTTTTTTCAGTTTGGGAAAATAAACCTTTAAAATTAGAGGTTCTGTATGTGTGGATGCTCATCTCTTTATAGGTGCTACTGCGGTTTTGTTTTCTTTCATACCAATGAAGTTTAAAAGACCACTAAAAGAATAATAGATCACTACACTGATCTCTGCTATTACACGAGTTTCCAAAACCTGAATTGGCTCATACACGATTGGTAAATAGTTGACAGATGTCTGTATAATGCGAAACTTATGTTGACTTATACAAGATTTCATCCCCGACATGTTTTCGTTTTGCATGGTGGATTAACACAACTGAACGCGGCGGTCCGCGGAGTAATATACATGATGCTCAGTTGTCCCACGTGCTTTGTTTTGGAAGTGCTAATTGGGAGCAGCTCCTCAATTTTTGTGCTATTTTCACTAAGTCTTCTGCATTGCTGTAAACATGATTGGACAAGGTGACAAGAATCTTAAGAGGCGTGATGGTGATAAAATTTCAGGTAGTGTACTTTTTTTCAAGGTAAAGTCCTTAATTTACTGTAGTATTTATTTATTATTGTAGAGCCCTTGCCTGGTGTCTTGGAGGAAGCATACCCGGATAATTAGTATGCACCATGGTGCAGGCTGGGAAACACTGTCGGGAGATGGTCTTAAGGCCCACAGGCTGAGTGCTAGCTAACCTTAGCTATGTAAATAGTGTTTTTTTTAAAGAAATTGTACTTGGTTGGTTGATGTTTACCCCTGTTTTCTTCTCAAGACCTGTATCCACACTAGCGTTGTGTACATTTTCCCTTTGCTGCCATTGTGGGTCAATTGCAACAAACTGAAAGTACCGTACTAACAGGAGTTCAACCCGTGCTTAGTACACAGCTGCGGTTTAAACTTGTGTTCCACCTTAAGACCAATTGCAACAAACTTTGCTGCTGTGCTTAGTCCGCAGCACAATACTAAACCTGTTCTCAATTGCAACAAACACAAAGTAACAGCTGCTGCCCTCTAGAGAAAATGTCTCTCTTAGGCCAAAGGGTCAATTAGTATTTTGTGACCTAACCTTTGGCATTTATAGTGCCAAGTATAACACTTCTGTAGTCTTTTAATACATTCTTAAACTAATCATTAATTATATTTGACCACTCCTCCAAGTGCTCTTTCTTTGACTTCTACTATACATGTACTGTATATGCGCTACTAGCGTTTCTGATGACCAATTAAGAGCACTAGGTTTTTATAAGCTTTGTTTTGATCATTAAGGTTTGTTGAGGGTACAGTAGATAGTTACATAGTTCATTTGCTACCAAGCTTGAAAAAACAGGATCCTTTAATTGTCTAAAATACCCTGATATATTTTTGAATTAATGTATCTTCTAGTTCCAATCAGGACACCAGAACCTTAGAATGTTAAATAGCACTGTAAACAAATCCATTTGTGGTTTATCCCACAGGACATTTGTCTCATGTTTCAACTCTGTGTTAATCCTGATATTGATAAGACTGTCCAGAAACTCAATTTGTTTTGTGCTGTACTACATAATGTGGGCCCCTTTGATGTGGAAGATATTTGTTGCTATTTGGCAGATTCAGGTATTTTTCTGTTGCCATTGAACTATGCCAAAGACAACAGATTCATGAGGTGAATATCAGATGGTAGTCTAGGATACATTGTATCCTGATGATGTTTTTTTGAAGATTCTCAATGCTTGCCCTCTGGTGTAGGTTAGTTTACCAAACCATTTTTCTGGCTGAGTGTTTGGTAAAACTTCCTTACTTCCTCTTCTTAAGTGGGTAGCAACCATCCAATTATCCTTGTATGTGTTTATGATAGACAGCACAAATGATTGTTGAATGTCAAATGGTTTATTTTATTGCAGTTATTGAGGTAGATGTCTGGCTTCAGCTTGGTGACTTGGTGTTCAGTCTCCATTAATTACTAGTTACCATCAAGGTGCTTTTCTATAAGTATTCTGTTGATTTTCAAAACTACAGAAATTATTATATTATAAAAACATTACAAGATTAAACAAGATTAAAGTTCTAGCATTTATTTTAAGCATATTAACAGGGCATAAATACATTTGAACATTTAAGGCTAAGAAATATTTAATTATGTTTAATTGACATATATATACAGTGTATATTCATATACTTTAATATATTTTCCACATTTAAAGGAAGGTCTGCCGGAATGAACACCCACTTTCTGTTACTGAGCTTTCAGCAAGAACTGCTGATGTGATGGTGAAGAAAAATAGGTTATCTGATTCTTTCCGTCATTCTTTTTCTGCACCTTCCAGACATGGACCCTACGCTTTAAATCTGGTAAATTTACTCAGTTAATTTCCATTTTACAGAAAATACATAATGTTTGAAGTCTAGTTTAGATGAAGTGTTTTTTTTATTCAGACAATTTTGTTACCTGTCAAAATATGATTTACTCTTTTGTAAAAGCCATTTCTTCATTTTAAAAATGAAAAGATTAGTAGTAAGCTATTGATAAATATTGCTAATGCAATGCCTAGGCTATCATTTACATGTACTGAAAATTTATTAATTAACCAATAATAAAATGTTTTGTCATTTAGAGAAAAGATAGCTCTAGGGTTCATGCCCGTACTCCACACAAGAACTGTGTTAGGTGGAAATCCCAGATGTTATCAGATGTTCCCAAAACAACTGAAGTTAGAAAACAGGTAATAACAAATTTCATCTTTATTATCAGCCATTTTTAAAGGCCTAGAACAATTTAATATTTAATCAATTAAATAAATAGTGTACTTATTAAATTAAATTATCTTATGATCATTTGAAATATAAATAATCAATATCCTTCAGATTTCAAAGACAAGAGTCTTGCTTAATTGACCAATTGCTTAAACAAGTGTACCTAATCTTTAAATAATAGGTGGTAAAAGGTGACCTATACAAATAACTAGATTAGGGCTCTTCTAAGCTGTCTATAAGGCATGCCTTGGGAGTATTTTAAATGATTGTACAGAGAATTACAGAATCAAGCATGACAAGTTATTTTTAAAGTAGCTACTGCTCTAGCTGAAAACCAAACTGAAAATGAAAACATACAGTACAATCAAAACCAATTGTGTTTCATATACTGTATGCCACTTTCATAGAATAAACGTATTTTGTCAAAGACTTCAATACTACACATACTTATAATTTGATCATAAAATGGTGGTGAATATTTATAATAAGTGAAGAAAAGATACTTCCTTAAGCCCTCAGCCTATAGAAATACAAAATGAAACATCAGTATAGTAGATTGAACGCTAAAGTGTTTTCTGGGTATTAGGTTACAGGTACTGTGTATGCAAACATTTGGTGCTCTGTTCAAAGTCATGCATCTATCAATTTCCATACTCAGAATAATGTATCTATTTCTACTACTGTACATGTCATGTTTTATCCATCTCATGTTATTGAGCTAGAAAGGAATTTAGGAGATGAGCTACAGTACAAATGTAGTAGCATTATGTGTACCAAAAGGCATAGGTATTGGAAGTGCCTGAATATAGAAGCAATACATGATGAATAAACCAATATCAATTGCAAGGTTAGAAAAAATGTTGTTTCTGTAATTCATATTTCCTTGAAGCTTAAAAATAGCTTTATATAAAGAAGCCACGGGTACAAGGTAAGGCTACTAAACTAGGGAAAGAAAATTCATGCTGTTTTGTTTGTCAAAGGATTCAATCTTTTGTTTTCATAAATATATTTTTCAGAGGAGCACATACAAGACAGATGTCATGGCACCCAAAATAAATGGTTCTAACCATGCAGTTTATTTGCAGAGAAAACAGAATCATCCAGTTGTTAAATCTAAAAGCTCAGGTAACTGTCTTTTATTCTGATATCTATGACTTTACAACTGCACTTCTGTCAAATAGAGATTGGGGTAAGGATTGGAAGTGTCACAGTCATGTGGTAGTTGGTTTTTATAAGTAGTGAACAGAGAGTTAAAAAAGAATTCTATAACACCTATTTCAAGAAAATTAATAAAAAACTTCAGTCATTTCCTAGAGAATAAATGAAAGGTTAAAAACACAAACAGTGCTCAATTGGAGCATTTTAACTCCTGCTGCAGAAACCAATACTTATCATCATTATATGTCATTACTGGAAGATTGTTGTTGTTTCTGCAGAAAACCGATATTTTTTATTTAAATATGCATTTACCGAGAGCTATCTAAACGTGCGGTGATGTCTCTGTATGATGGTTCAGGCTTCTGAAAGGCTGAAAGGATTAGGATGAAATAGCTTTGATATTTTATTTGTCTTAAATTGTTCATAATTAGAAACAGTTGCATTTAATGAAAAAAACAGCAAAACATTTTCTTGACAGCTTTCAGGATATGTTAAAAGGGTATTTCATTCTTAGAACAGATAATTGTATTTCCAATATATTTCAGCTTTTTATGAAAAAAAATATACTAACCTATTGGTACTGTACAGTATGTACTGTACATTTTTATATTTGGAAAGCATGTAGAACCTGTTTGACTAAGTTAAAGGTGTAGAAAATTCCCAACTTAGTTTATGGCATCCTTCAATATCCTAGGAATAATCAATGTGAATGAGCTCATTTCACTATAAACACTTTGACTCAGACATACTGTACGATAGACACAGACAGCCTCCACAATTGTGATGTAATCAGCTGCTTGTTTATCAAAATGCAAGGCCACAATGCATGCAAAAAAGCTGATCATCAGACTGTAGACTGACAGCCACTCTTAATAATAGCACTATGAACTCACAGGAATCAGGTAAGCTGTGTATATTAGAGTTGAGTGGCAGGCTGAGAAAAAAGCTTTTTAACTTATAAGTCCTTTCAGATCTTGCTGTGCTCAAATGCTTGAAAATTCCTGGCCACAGACAGAAAATGGCATTAAGTAGCCCTGAATATAATACTGAGTTACAAGATTGCAACTTCTAGTTTAGATACCAGGAATATATATTTTTTTGTTAGGCCTGTTTTTGTTTACTTATATTCATTCTTAAACAAGTAAATACAATACATTTTTCCTTTATTCTGACCTACAGTATTTGATTCCACTGATATGAGATGTGTTTTTGCACAACAGATGTAGCAACTTTTAACTTCTGGTACATTGTAGCAACTTTTAACTTCTGGTTCATTCCTTAATGCCTTATTACTGTAATTAATCCTTATATTTAACACTCTGGTGAAAACAAATCTCAGGACACAGGAATACTGAAAATCTAAATTTTTTATTGTTTACTTATAATTGATTCAGGGCTTTGGGCTTAACACCCAGTATGTGTCTATCTTGTTTTTGTCTTCTTGGATTACTCAGTATAGTACTCCTTTCACAATTGTTATTTTAGCTATTTTTGCAAGCTCTCCTAATGTCTGTTGCACATTGAGGGTTTTATGTAGTCTTTTAAACCTTGTGTAAGCCAACTCTTACACACTATTTCATTTGTAAGGTTAACTGGAGTTAAAAATTTGAATTTAGCTGGAATTGTTGTTGGTATAACTGCTGAACAAATTATAAAATTTGGATCAGAAACCTAATCCAGTGCTCCAATAGGACAACAAATGTAGTTGACCTCTGTGTGTTAACTATGTTAAACTATTCCTGTCATTTCTGTGGAAATTAAAGGCTCTTTGAAAAAGGTTATGATTCTGGTACCATGATTTAATTTAATTTAGATTAAAAATTCCGATCTGCCTAAATCCCTTCTTAAATTCCATAACCCTCCACTATATGCCTCCAAGTAAAAATAAAAGAAACTAAATAGATAATAGTACACTGCGTGTTTGTTAGTTATGCCTGGTGTGATCATTGATGCAAAGCATTTTATTAGATGATGTGCTATGCTTTCTCCATTTACCACTGTGTAGAATTGTCAAAAAGCTACATAATTAGTATCACTCTTTGTGTTCTTTACTTTAATATTACTGTAAAAAAAATCTCTCCTAAACAGTGGTGATTTGAAAACAAGTTTAAATAAAAAAAACTACTGTAAACCAAAATAATAATGCATTTCCTTTCAACATTTGTTGTGAGACATACTGTACTGTACAACTGCTGTGACATCCTCTTAAGGAAGATATTGCAATGAATCCTTTTAACGTCTAAGTCTTTTGAGCACTTCCATCCATTAAAGCAAGTGGTACAATTCTGGTAAAGTTTTAGACACAAGACTACTTTTAGACACAAGGTGTAAATATTTATTTTACATTACTATAGAAGGGTAAAGATACTGTATACTATACAATTCTCTTTTTAAAATTGAGTAAAATACTGTAGGATGAAGCTGTCTGCAGTGATATAATACGTAGTAAACCAATTTGTTGGGAACAAAAGGTACTGTAACTTTATTTCCTTTAATTATTTATAAAAGGGTTAGGCCCCAGGGGTAACCTGCAAAAACAGGTTAACTATAGTACTTTATATAAACTGTGTACTGCATGTGTATTATATATGAGAGAGACAGCAATATAATTAATATTCACACTTTACTATTATGGAGATCATGAGCTTATAATCAAACATTTGCCTGTATGATGTTATCCTGAAAATTCAGCATCAGTTCAGATTAATTATGTAGGGATTTGTTTTAAAATCTAAGGACGCTTGTTTATATTTATGTCATGAGACATTTATATTCCCTGGTCTTTTGCAGCAAAAATCAATTTAGGATTAAAAAGCTTGCTTTCTTAACCCACATAATGGGAAAAGCAACAGGTTTTCTAATGTTGCCCTTTTGCACTTTATTATCTTGCTTTGTTACATTTATCAATACATTGTTTGTACAGCCACAGGTTCCCAATAATTCAAATTATTTCTCAGGGTCAATCTATACATATTTGCTGAATGTGATCAAATAAATAGATGTTCAATTGTTAAAAAGATAAAATTGTTTTTTAGTGTAGCATGCAACATGTCTTAAAATGATGAATACCTCTTGAGATTACCAGACTGTTTGCACAATGAACATTAGATTTGTATGTCTTCCATTCTTTTGTATTCATTGTTTACAACACTGGACTGAGAAATGTTTGCTTTTGGAAAGAAGGTAGAAAAACACTGTGTTCAATGGTACAGTATTATAAGCCCTAAGGTGATGGTGGATAGAATTAAAAATATATAGATTCAGGTTTCAAAGTTTTGGTTCAGGATTCTTGGCACCTGATAGACTAAATACTATACTTGAACACTGTAAATATTCCTCACTGGTAAAAGATGCTTTTCATTCTTTGACAAAGTACAGTGTTTTTGCTGTTAAGTACAGCAAACAGTAATAATTATAAAAGTATAGTAACAACACACTAGATAAAAGAGCATTCCCTATGGTACTGGATTTATTTTAAAGCAGAAAACATTAATAGGTTAGGAGAAAACAAGGTAATTAGGAGAAAACAGGGTAATTAGGAGAAAAAAGATCTTATGTTACTGTATTTTGTAATATTTTAATTCTTTATTGAAACTAATTACCATATTTCCAAAAACTTATTATCACAGGGTCTAGCTACTGTAATTAGAAGTAGGCAGTTCATTTTTCTATGGAACATGTGTTTGCGTGCATTAAGCAGTTTAACTAGAATATTGAACACAATGGTATTACATCTAAACAATCACAAACTATTTATGAATGCATAAAACATTAAATATGGACAATATGTTATCATTGTAAAAAAACAATTATTTTATAAATGCATATTTAACATTGTTCTTTATTTTTTAGCTTTACATGAAATACATGGAAAGCGGCAGAAAGACTTTTCAATGCAAATGAATGACAAGTCTTCAAACACTGTTTTGCATACAAGAGAAAAGAGAAAAAGCACTTCTCTGAAGGTAAAGAAGACAAACATAGATTTCCAAGTGGAAGAAGGTGTGAACAAAAAAAATAAGACCAACCTCAAAGCTGACAAATATTTTGAGCTGAAAGAAAATGCAAAGGAAATATATGAATCAGAAGATGACGAGCATTACAGAAAAGTAAGATTTTTGCATAGGATGCCTAGTACACCTGACAACTGATACTTATAAGAAGAAAAGGAGTCTAATTGTCTTATTGATAATTGAATTTCTGGCTATACAAAACTGAAGTTTGTAATTATAAATGTGAAACCATATGATTTCTGAATGTCTCTGATATCTTTGGGACATCCCTTTTTTGTAATTAAAATGTTTAAGTTTTTAAAGGTTAAATAGTTTTTTTTATTTTTCAGATACCATACTTGTGTTAAACAATAAATTAATTATTCTGAAGGAACTATATCTTCTTTAGAAAAAAGCACATCTTGACATAAGCTTTCAGATAAGATTGTATACTGTATAAATCCACATAATCCCTGCACATTTTAAGACAGAATGGCATACAAACATAACTGAGTTATAATTTAATTCCATAAAGAATGTGTATATTTTTAAAAATGTGTTTTTTTTATATATTTTTAAAAGCATTGACAAATTATAATTTCAGTTGTTACAACATTAATATTTGTATTTGTGAACATTTTTTTAAACACAATAATAAAAAAATATTGTTTTAATAACAATAGAAAAAATTGTAATACCTTTGGATTTAATTATTCATAACTATGTTGCACTATTATCTATACTTTTAGTTTTAGTACTGTGCCGTAGTTTTAGTATAATAAATATTTATCTTAAGGAAAGCTTCTACTGTAACTTGCTCCGATATTGTTTGGTATGATTTTATAATCATTATTGTAGCAGGCCATCACAAAAATTGCCTGCATTTCCAGCTGAGCTGCCACTTGAAGATGACAAAATGCCTGTAACTCCTATAAATTGGCTCACTGTATTTCAGTTTGTCAGTTAATTAAATTATTGATTAAATTGCTTATTTATTTAGTGGTGTGTAGCATTTAAAAAGGGTGGGGAAGAACCAGACTGAAAACCTGAAGAGGATTTAGGTTTTATTTGTTATAAAAATTGAAGGGACTCTGCAGTAAAGACTCCAGTAGTTTAGTTTGATGGCCATTGGTGCTGACACGATCGCTTATACAGTATACATTACATATACAGTAGTTCAGGTGGGTAGCTGTGTCAGCATGCATAGGCTGCAAAAGAACAAGTAATAGGTTTATTCCATGCTGAAAAGATAAGAAAGAAAACACAAAGTTTCGGCCGTGGAGACTCACACCTGAAGAAGGCTCTATCTTTTCAGCAAACATTGTGTTTTTTTTCTTCTCTTTTCAGCATGGAATAAACCTATTACTTGTTTCTATATTAAATATATTTTAGTTTGTATTTGCATAATATATGAATTCGACACTTCTGTTTTTCCACATTTTTATGCAAATTATATGCATCAAATTTATGCAAAGATTGCAATAAACCACCTGTTTTTTTTGTAACTCTTGTACCAAAAACACCAATTGAAAGGTTTTTTAATATACAGTAAACAGAACATTAAACATTTTATGAAAAGCACTACTTACAAGGATACCTACAGTGTGAAACAAATCATTCAACACTATAAGAAACTGCATGTCAGGATATATCAGGTCATTCTACAGTATAATAATTTTATGATCCAAAATGTGTCTGTAATGCTGCACTGTCAATTCCTAATGTCAGTCAGTATTTCTCAGAACAACCTTCTATGTTATGGAAGATGTCTTCTTTACCAAGATGCCTTGTAATGATTAGTTCTGCACAAGCTCAATGCAAGATCAATTAATATGCAGAAAGGTCTGTGTGGAAACATCAGCTTTGGGCAGTGTACCAATGCAAAAGCTTAATTTAGACAGCACACTATACAGTACTGTTCATGGCTCAGAAGTACCACAAAAGGTGATCTTGTCCCACATTAGAATGAAACAGTGCTTACAACAATTTTTTTCATTATGTTCTCCCTGTGTTCACATTGGTTTCCTCCAGGTGCTGTGGTTTCTTCTCACAGTCTGAAGACATACAGGTGTGACCATTTGTACCTGTGTGTGCCCTGTGATGGGCTGGAGTCCCATGCAGGTTGTACCCTGCTTTGCACCCATAGCTTGCCAGGATGAGCTCTAGCTCACTCACAACACTATATTGAATACAACTGTTAGAATAGGGATGGATGGATTTACCACATCCACACAAATGAAAAGTAGATTGTTTAGAAACTGTGCTTAGCATTTTAAAGATGAATAGTTTCTATGAAACATACATTACAGTATTTGTGTTTTCACAATAAAAAAGATGTAATAAAGAATATCCTAATTTCCCTATGTTGAATGAAACCTTTGTATACTGAAATGTTTAAGCATGCATGATTGGTTGGCAACCCTTGATAAACATCAGGCCTCTCAAACTCCAGATAAAATATTTAAATATTCAGTATGTGGGGCTGAGACTCAGTTCTTGTTTATACTGTATTTCACTTAAAAATAAATCATGTTAATAATGCTGGCAAGAACATGGGAAGCATCAGGCTGAAATGACTAAATCTTAAGCCATACATTTAACTTAAACTTTAAACTGTATATTGCTGGAAGAAAAGATGATATAGGGCCTTAAGCAAAAGCAAATCATCTTCCTAATCCTGAATAAGCATGCGCCATTTTGTAAAGACATATTAGACAGTTACTGTACTTAAATATACGTTTAGTCTATTCAAAGGTTTCATCCAGCATATCTGTATCAGTAATCACACTGACATTTTGTTTTAGTCATTTGTAAGTATTTTTTCATTATGATTCACATACTGTATTTAAAGTATATGCACCTCTCTAGGTAAATGTAAACTATACAGTATTTAATAAATTAGGGACAGATGAATCTTAGCTGTGAATTCAAAATATTGCTACCTAATGCAATGATGTAAGTTTAACCCCATCTCAATATAGTATGTTCCACAGCAGAGGCATCGTTAGCCTCTGGAGACTGCTCTGAGAAGATTTTTTTTTAAGATAGGTACTATGTAATGTGGCATTATAAAAATGCTTTGGAATATAGTTATTATAAAATGATTCAATATCCTTTGAACTGTAGTCTATATTTGATTTTTGTTTCATACTGTTTTCGTTCTATAAACATTTTTGTTAATGCCACATACTGTAAGTGGCTTTGCCTTACTTTTTATAATTTTATTTTTTATTACGCCTCTCAACTTTTATTATGTGCTGAGATTTTCAGTATCCAACATAAATAGATAGAAATTTCACAAACCAGAATTTAATGCCTTGGGCCAAACATTTGCTCAGTGAAGACTTGGCATCTACAGTAGTATCTATGTTATTGTGTCTGTTTTTTGTCTGCTCGATTTAATAGGTTAAACAACCAAAATGCTGACATACTGTAGGTCTATTAGAGTCTTCCCTCTGACATTTTCTCATGAACGCCTAAGGAGCTTTGTGCTGTTGCTATAAAACAAATGCTGGAACTAATAACAGAATTCAAAACATGATGTGGGCTGTACACTCTAAGTACTCCAAAAACGTGTTTAATCAGAGTAAATTCTGAAGGATCTTTATTAGCACTCAGAGCTGAATTTGAAAGCTGAAGAATAAGCTAAGGAATATTAAACTTTGCATTTAGGAACTTACAGGATAGAAATGACAACAGTATGTGGTTCTCTGACTCCATTAAGAAGCAGTATGATGTTATATTTATATAATTAAACAACCAGCAATTAAACACACTAGTTGGATGAAATGGCTTCTTTTGCTCTGTAATCATGTAGGTTACAAAATAGTTGATGCACACTAAGTACTTCTAGTATGCCTGCTATTCTAACTTCAAGTTTTCTACTACTCAGATCTTTTTTTAATATTAAGCCTTTGTTCTCTCTCTCGCGATATTTATATATATTGTATATATATATATTGTGTCTGATTATCTTGGCATGTGTAGTTTGCAAATATTTCCTTCCAGTATTTAAAAAGGTGTTTATTCAAAAATAAGTGAACTAATTTAATGCCATACACACAAAAGATCAATGTGCACTTCTGGAGAAGCAAAATTATTAATTTTGCTGGAACATTACATACAATGCATATATCTGTATTGAATTTCTATTTTTCATAGGCATTATGTATTTATTTTGTATGGTCATTAATATAATATTCTGTATATCATTTCAGTATAGCAGCTTATAAATAAGATAAGATAAGATCACTTTATTAGCCATATAAAATCTCTCGCATTAGGAATTTGTCTTTTCACATACCCCAGCTTGCTCTCCATCAGACACACAGACGGGGAGAGAGAAGCTTGGGATCAGAGCGCAGGGTCAGCCATTGTACAGTGCTCCTGGAGCAGTTGGGGTTAAAGGCCTTGCTCAGGGGCCCAGCGGAATAGGATTCCTCTGCCGGCCGCGGGAATTGAACTAACAACCTTCCAGCCACAGCCGCAGATCCAGCGCTCCACCCAGAAGAAGTTGCTTCAGTTCCCTTTAGTTTCATTTTAAGAGGTTTTAATGAATATATTATTACTGAAGGATGTTCTGTACAGTAGGTATAGTTGAGATACAGTAGAAGCATGATAAAGAATCAGCTACATAAATGGTATTTTTATTTTTATTTAGCCATCATTTGTGTGTTAACAAGTTGTTATATATCATACAAAACATTTAGTTAAAAATCAGTTTAACACACAGTCAGCTACTTTAAAACAACTTGACATTTACTCAGTACATACAAACAATGAAGACATTTTTAGTATACTGTATGTCATCTGACAATCACAGCTCACAACAGATATGAAAATGTTGAAATGTTACAATTAACTAGAAAATTGCACTTAGTTGTGTATACACAACATGTAATGTGGATTTACTATTACATTGTAGTTAAACATTAATCAAGGGAGTGACTATCATACTGAGAAATCAATACATTAGTTCTGAAACATCATTCTAAAACAGCAGCATTCCTTCAATTAAAACATTTTCATTTTACCCTTAAGCATAATATTTTTAGTATTTAATTTAAGTGGCTTTTAAAAGTGGAGATTTTTAAAATTAAAGTTTATTATATTTCTTTTTATATAATTTTGATGAATCTGTTGTGAAAATATGTACTGTATGCTACTATAAGATTGAGGATAAACTTTCAGTTTGTGTTTCATGGCTTTTTTTATAGACTCATTTTGATGAGATAGTGTACTGAGTTAATATGGGGATATTTTAGTAAAAAAATAATCACTCACATGATTGTTTAGAGCACAATATCAAAGAAAAAATACCATATAAACATTTTTTACAGAATAAAATACAATACAATACAATAGGTGGTACCGTATGCAGAATATTACAAAAATAAATGTTCCCCTTTGTTCCAAATCATAAAATCATTCTTAATATCCTTGGCTACTAAATAAGACTTTCTGGGAAGTGATAAATGAGCACTTTTGTTTAATATAGTCTCCAAAACAAAGTATGTTCCCCTAAACTTTGGTGCTGATAACAGGCAAAAAATATCCACTTATTATGAACGTAGCAGTACATCCACACTTGATAAACAAAATTGAGCTACAAATGATTTTATCTTCCTTCCTGCTTAAGTTTAAGGATATTTTTTCTTTTGGTTAGACTCAAAATAAAAGGTGATCAAGCAACCGTTCTCCTGAATGGAGCAATAATTAAAATCTCATTAGCTATCACACAGCTTTGACAAATAGAGGAGATCTGTATGTAACTAAAGTGAGTTAGTAACAATGTTGGTTAAGTTTATGCAAAACAAAAATAATTGGATAGAGTGCTGATTTAGTATTAGTTTTGGACATAAGAATCAACAGGGTGTTTAATTAACCCTGTGCCCCCCTTTAGGGCAAAAGTCCAGACCATACACTAATTAGCAGTTTGCCAGATTTATAATCACAAAGCATTTGTTACTGTTGAAAAGAAAGAAAAATGTTTTCTTTTTACATAAAGTACAGCTGTGTATTGAGAAAAAAGGTAATTTCTGAAGGCTTTTTTATAAGTTATAGAGTTAAATTCAGTAATAGTCACATGTCACATGAAACTGCTCTGCCAATATGCCTTCATTTAGAATGGTGCTGTCAGATTGTCTTTCATTTGTGTCTGTAGTTTTATGGACATTATCTGTGTTTGTACAAACTATTCAAAAATCATCTAAAGATATATATAGACAAACAGACTTAGACAGTGCTGTGAACAAGTATTTGATTATTTTGTCTAAGTACAAGTAGTATACAATTATCATTATCTTGGCAAATACGGAAAATCCTACAGTATACTGTATGCTTTATACAAAACTAGAAAGCTGGAAAAATAAAATAGTGATAGATTTAGAAAAAACAGAACCAATTGCAATAATCAAACATGAAGAAGTAGCACATAACCTTGTGTGATTACCTGAACTAATTTCATGAAGAACAACACCCCAATGAATAATATGATTGAGGATTTTTTTTTAAGAATTAAGGTATTGTGAAATCTGATTTATTCCATTTGGTTTAGGGCCAGTCGACTAGGCAAAGGCAAGGACCCCCATGCAGAGCGAGGAGTTAACCAAGGGGCAGCTGCAAAGATGTGGTGGAGGAGGGATGCTTGCAGCAAAATGTGAAAAGAAGGGCATTAGCTGCTTATTATGTGTACAGTATATATATATATTCTGTATATAGTTTTGAGAAATGAGCTTGAAAATGATTATGAATTAGAACAGGGCAAAAGCCCTGGTTAATTTCATCGCTCCCGAACTTCAGCTAAGCTCTTCCATTCTGCTGTTTGGCAGCAGCAGCATATTTAAATAAGATCCTCATTTACATACTGTAAGAACAGCAGCAAAAGAAAAAACAGTATTGATATCTTACCTGGCAGTTACTCAAAACGGCAGACTTAAAATTGTTAGATATTCCCATACAGCATATGGAGGCTTCTTTATTTGATCATTTCCATGATTATTCCCTGTTCTTCATGTTTAGTGTTAATTGCAGAGTGAAAAATATTTTTTAGATCTAATGTTGACTTTTAATATAAGCCACTGTACTATACATAATAATGCAGAAATAAAACTAAACAGCAAAACCTAAATAGATGTACTGTATTTAACCACTATTGGTAGTCTAATAAAATCTTTAAGACACTAAGCATGTAAAGAAATATTATGTCTAGATTATAAAATATGATTATAAAATAAAACATGATCTTTAATAATTAGCCAATGTTTATATTGAATATTTAGAAGGTACAAATATATTTTTCCTTAAATGTCCTAACTTTTTTCTTTGATATGCAATTTGATATGGTTCAAAGTATATAAAAACTACATACAAACAAATGTTACTTTACCAATGTTTCCTCATGAAATTTCCTTTATGCATTTTTATCAAGATCAGTATGCATCTATAGGCTCAGTTTAAACTCAGATCACAATAAAATACTGGGTTGTGACATAACCCACTGTAACAGTCATTGTATATAGAATTAAGATTGATATTGACATACGTCAAAAACATTGTGATCAAAGTCACTTTACAGCTACATTTCCAATTACAGATAAAACATAAACTATTTTTACTGTTTCATTGACACATCCAGGAAGTCACCATCTTCAGTCACAGAGAATTCCTTATTCACCTCCTGTACATAATTAAATAATGAGACTTCCTTTCTTCCTTGTGAAACTCAGACCATCAACCAGTGATGAAGCTGTGGAAATATTTAAGAAATACAGAAAACAAAAGTACATCACATTTGATTGACAATTCAAAGGATCTACTGTAGGACCAGATGCATAAAACATTTTGGCAATGTGTTGCTTCATCTTTGACTGTCTTAGGAAAATAAAATGAAGACGCAAACATGTTAAACAGTAATTAAACCATCTTAAACCTATACTGGAAGTGTTACAATTTTGTGTTACATGCTAACAAAAATTGACTGCAACACTCTAAAGCAAGTCCTGACAAAACTATCAGAAATATAAATGAATTAAAATGCATTGACAGTCATGTAAAATCCACATATTCTTGCAGTACTTGACTCTGTAATACTTAAGCCATAGTTTTTGGACAAAGTCTTAAAATGGCAGCTACAGTAAGTCCTTAGTATACAGATCCTGTTTTTCTTCAATATATGTAAATGCATTTGAGGTGAATTTACATGGTAAAGGATAATTGATAAAACATAACAAAGATTTGTCAATCACAATTATTTTACATTTTTATAGAATGAAAAACTAAAGGCTCAGGTAAAGTAACTGACAAAACATACTGTGAACTGTCGAACTTCGCCATTTTCCACTAAGTGATGCTCTTTCTCTGGGGTAATTGCATATGCTAATTTCTGAAACAAAAAGCCAGATGTTTCATTAATTTATTGCATAACAAAGTTTCTGCAATACATATAAATAAAAGATGTATAGCATAAGAAGTATGTGCTTTTTTTGGTGGTAATTTCTGTACATCATCATAGTGCATTCTGGTACTTCACAGATCAGTGTATACCAAACATTCTTGGTAAAGCCAAAAAATTAGTTAACTTGAGTCAGAGTATCTTTGCATGGTAGCGTAGTTTTACACTATGTTTGCATGCCATTAGGACTGCCTGAGTATGACTGAAGCTGGAAAGGCACTTTACTGTGTACTACAGTCATAATTGCTTTCTTTAAGCTTAGTTAGCTTAGTGCTAATAAGTACTGTTTATGATATGTTTATGTTATGTTTATTGAGAACATAAGCCAAACTTTTAAGTACTGAAATTAACCAAGGCCTATAGCAAAAAGAATGTTCTGGTCCCTTCTACTGTTAATCACTTTTCTGGCTCATTGGTGGTAGGCAACACGTGTAGAATTTATGTTTGCCACCTCTGTCATTGAGAAAACTAGTACCTAGAATCTTTTAAACTCTTGTGTTCCAAAATTAGTTTATAAAGACAGAAATTTAGCATATTTGTCTTTACAAATACAGAAATTAATACAACAAATCCAAATACAACAATGCTTTACGTAGGACATACTACTGTATTTACATACTACTTCCAGGTGGAGTTGAAATTTTAAATCTTAAACTCACTGACCAATCTTTTGCAAATAAGGATTTTGATACATAACAGCACATCCTAAAATATTGAGGATTTGCAAGTTATATGTAATAGAAATAGATCTGATCTGAATCATCTCAGTAAAACTTCGTGGACATTAGTTTGATGTGGTTAGGAATATCCATGCCCTTGAAATCACAAAAAGCTTTATATAATATAAACAAACTTTTTTTTTCTAATATATATTTTCTTGTAGGATTTAGGTAGTATTTTTTTTCATCTTGTTTAATATAATGAAAATTTTACCAGGCTGTTACTTGAGATTAAAAATCACACACACATAATTAAGCAGTAAATACAGTTAATATTGTTATTCTCAGGCATGTTAAAAATATTAAATAAAATGAGAATATTTTAGATATGAAATAAATACAAACCTTGAATAACTGGAATAAGTAAATTTACTTAATTTAAGGATTTTCAGAGTTTATTCACAGATCGTGATTCACAGGAAGAACTTTTTTCCTAAACTGTGTATGAACTTTAAGTCTTATAAACTGCATAATAGTTTAGAAAAGACTAGATATATTGTATGATGGGGATTTACCCAGAATGGCTTTGCACAGACATGTCACGTATTTTAGGTGTGACTCATTTTGCAGAAGAAAAGTGGTGTTCAATACGTTATAAGTTGTAACAGGTCAAAGTTACTGTATATTTAATTATGCCATACGCATAAATATATACACTGCACATATACATAACTTTTCCTACCCATTTTTTGGAATAGAAAATACAAACTCCTAATATTACTCAACAAAAGGAAAACCATTTAATTATGTTTATTCCATGCTGAAAAAAGAAGAAAGAAAACACAAAGTTTGGCCGTGGAGATCAAAACAGATTTATTACATTACCATTATTAAATACAAACTCCACGGCTGAAATGTTGTGTTTTCTTACTTTTTTTTTCAGCATGGAATAAACCTATTACTTGTTCCTTTGCAGCCTACACATGCTGACGCAGCTACCCACCTGAACTACTTCAATTATGTTTAGCAACTGTTAAATTAGAATACTAAAAATATTAATTTCACTTTCCAATTTATTTAGTCTTATTTTATTTTAAGTGAAAAAAGCATGTTAATTTAGCATGGAGGTAAGGGTTTTATTTACAGTTCATGGCCTGTACATGGCCAGTACATGGCCTGCTCTATTGTAAATACTGTATAATCAGTTTAATTACCATAAGTACAGTAGGTACCACAAATAAATAATTGTTTCTAAAGATATCCTTAAATTTATGAAAGTCTACCTTTTGTTAAGAAAATCTGTTCTTTATGAATGTTTCCTGGAAAATGTTTATACTTACGTCTCGAAATGTTCCTGGTAGGACACAGAATTTGTAGATGGCATATATGGGTACCATTGTCATAGAGGATATGGCTACACACCAGCCAATCATGTTTGCCCAAACTGGAAACACATATGTTCCATAATATGGAGGGTTAAATGTTGCAAAGCTGACAACCACCATAAACTAAAAGATAAAACAAAAGGAGAACATCATTCAAAGATGACTACAATTTAAAGAACAAAAGAAAAATACATGTCTGATGTAAATCAGAAAGCATAATTCAAAATGTATATAGTGACTTTTGGAATGTTTTAGATTAAGTTGTATAGATAAAGGTGTAATAGACATTAATTCATAGCACCTATAGATATACCGTAGTGTTTGTGCTAACCCTAACTGCAATCTTACCCTAACCCTTAAACTAACCCTAAGATCACCACTACTCAATATCTCATCATTCAGGTACCATGTCCTTCCAGGAAGTTGGCGATCATGGTCTTCCACTGGACTTCATTTGGCATGATGCTCATGTTCTTGTTTATGCTTTTCAAGTAGATTTCTGTTGGTCTCCGCCTGCTCTTTTTCCCTGCTGTTCTTCCAGTAATGATGATGTTCTCAAGTTCTTCTTTCATCAGAATGTGCCCCCTCAGAACTGCAGCTGCCTACTGAATATCTGTGGGTGCTTTTATAACATATTTATTATTTATTCCCATGAACCTCAGTGTTTGCACAGTGATGATTAATAATAATAATGATGATACAATTTGATTATGAGCATTCAAAAAACTCAAAATGTTGTACAGTAGCACAAATAATATACAACAGAAGCAAATAGAAAATGAAATAAAAATATATAGCAAATTGATTTAGTGAAACTAGTTTCAGAGTCTCCAGTACATTTGGGGAATCAGTTCCATCAAATTGTTGCCTCACATGAGAATGTTCTACCAACAACAGATGCAAAAAAGACATTTACCAGTTGGCTTCTGGCAGACAAAAAGGGTCAAATGAACAAAGGGAAGTCTCACTGATCTGTAAATATTTTCCCATGCAATCCAGTAGGCTGCCATAATAAAATATAGGACATTCTATTTAATAACAGAGTATCTCTTAAACCTTTATATATTCAACTTAATCTAAAAAATGATTAGATGCTTAATCGTCAATTTATGTGATAATTCACATAATCTTGCTTGATGATGTGAATGATTTTCTCTTGCTTGATTTTCTCATCATCTTGAGAAAAATGAAACTGATGAAACTTGGTATTATAAGGATCAATAAGTATGTCTTAAAATTGACAGAGTTATAATAATATTTTTAATTAGCTCAAGGTGTATAGGTGTTAATATTTTTACACAAACCTTTACCACCAATTTGGTGCAAATCCCTCTTTCTACTACTAAGTACAGAAACAGAGCTGATTTACATTGTCAAAAATAAAAAGATAAAAGATAAAAGATAAAATGATGATTCTAGCTCAAAGAAAGTGGCAAGTTTCTGTTACCAGTTATTCACTCAGAGGTCTCATGAAAGTCCAGAGGTTTGTGATTGTGACCAGAACTAAAATTCCAAAAAAAATTAAAACCAGTCAGAATGTGCTACTTATAGAAGCGGAAAATATAAAAAAATGTTTCTGTCTAATTAACTATGTCTTTGAAATATTGACACAGTTCTATAAAATAAAAATCCAAGCATGCCTTTGGAGAAATGTATGCTTGACCAATAAAAATCTCTTAGCACCAGGGGGCAGTATTTAAAATTGCTGATTCTTACTAGAATCGTGGTTAAATAATCTCCAGCAATCTCAAGACAACAAAATAAATATTGTAAGAAAACTCAAAAGTGGTAAATGTGGGTCAGGCCAACACAACATTTTTTAGCTTGGAAAGTTTAGACATTTTAATGTAAGTGTTAACTAGACATAAGTATCTTAGATCATAAAATGTAATCCACCATCTCTTGCCAGACTGTGTCACATCTATTGCTGCAGATAAATATCTCCCACCATACCTTTTTTTTCTTCTTCCATCCTGTAAATGCTATCTATTAACATAATTACTATTAAGTTCAGAAACAGTTTTTGTTCTATAGCTATATGAACTGTTTTAGGCTAGATCTTTTATAATTTATTTTTTGTATGGGCAAAATATGTAATGTTTTGCATAAGTATAATATTGAATTGAATGGTAATGCTGTATTAGAGTAAATTCTTAATACATTCTTGTGGAAATGCAGTCTTGTGGCAAATTAATTATCTTTATTTGTAACTGAAGCTATAAATAAGTGCAAGTTTCTCAACAATAATCAGTGGTGTGATGATTTTGTCTATGTCATTAGATTAGGTGAACAGGCATGTATGTGCATCAGTGTTCCATAGTGTAAGTCACAGGAAAAAGTTATTTATTTTTAATAGATGTGGAATGTTTCTTGTGGCTGCTCACTGTAGACGTGCACTGTAAACTTTCGATTATTCAGAATTTTTATTTAAGAATTAGTTTTTACAATAATTTGTATTTATTTTTACAATAAATGCAGTATGTTGAAGCAGCAATTACATTTTTTATATTTTTGGCATTTATTTTGACATATATTGTGACATCAGTGCTGTGATATACTGTATGAATTATCCTCCTGAGTGATCTGATCCTAAAATACAGTACTGTATATTCTACCAAATTAAAGGATACTGCATTAAATGTTTTATATCACATTACAAAGAAAATATTTATCACTTTCTATGTGTTTGGACTTTAAGCTTTCGTGGTTCAATTAAACGAAAACAAATCAAAATATTGACTTACCAATAGGAAGCAAGGACTTACAAACTTCCAGCACAGTCTCCAGTACAAGCCAGGTCGATGACCTATCATTTCCTTTATATCATCACTAAACCGATCAACTCCTTAAATAAAAACAAAGACTTGTGTATTAAATACTGTTACAAACTACTGTTTTCAAAGTCTGGTATCTAGGCCTAAACAGAGAACCTGGGAACACTGGGTAGAATTCAAGATGTTTACATACAGTAGCTGTCAGTGTGCTGAGAGACAGATGATCAAAGAGAATCAAAGGGTTTCCTCTAGTTTTCTCTTGATTAGAAGTTACAACACAGAGAATCACAGCATAAAAGGTAGGACTAAAAAGAATATAAAAGAAAGATACAAAAAGAAGAAACACCCTCATGCTTCTCTTCCTCTTAACTTGAGCAATGGGAGATCTTGTTCTGAAAAGTAGACCAAGATTCTGACTAAGTAATATGAACCATGTAATACAGAGCTTGCTGTCCTGAGGCCTTGAATCCTCTGGCCTCTGAGATGCAGTGTACTTTTTACAGGTGTAAAAGTTTAATGTTGTATGTTCAATGTTTGTGTTGTTTTGTTTTGTTACTATTCACTGTTAATAACTATTTGTCTGATCAAATTTTGACTGAAATCATTACTTCCACCAGTGCTGTACCAGAGAAAAAGAGCAACTAGAATGTGTCTCAAAATTATTCATCGTTTTGGGGTATATCTTTGACAGTCAGGTATCAGAGTTTATTTTTATTATTATTTTACTGATTTTATGCTGCCTCCATGTTTTAAATACAGTATGTATGTGGTTTCCAAAGTTTTAATACATTTTTCATATATATACAGTATATATCAAAATTAAAATTAAAAACCTCAAATACAACAAAAGAACAATAAAATATCCACTTCATAATGCCTAGTTTAGCCAGGATAACAAGTATTTTCCCAGTAAGTAAGAGAAATGTGAAGAATGTAATTACGGCATTTCAGTCCATTGCAAAGCAGCAAAGACAAGTTAGTAAAAATGCCTGTATTTATGATATAAGAACACATAAATGTTTACAAACAAGAGAAGGTCTTCTTGGTTAAATGTTTTTTTCAGCAGTCAACTGATCCAAGGATCCAGCTATTTGTTGAAGGAAAGCTTCATCAGCATTCCACAATCATTTTGTATAGAAGTGCCTCCTTTTTTTGTGAACTTCCACATAGTTTTCACTTGTATTCATTTTTTATTCTGAAGAAGTACATTGGGTTGACTTTGTCAATGCCTTTGAAATTTTTGAATACTTGAATCCAACCTCCTCATTCTGTTTCTCATTTCAAGACTGACTATGTGTGAAGTTCAGTAATTTTAGCTTGTCAGTGCAGGTCATTCCTGTTGAATGCCCACAAATGTATCTGGTTGCTCTTCTCTGAGCTATCAAATATTTTTTCTTTATACACTTTTAGCATAACATTTCTTGATTTAAATTCAGCACTTTCTATACATATTTTACACATGCTAGAATAGTTTGCTGTTTTCTGTTGCTTCCCTACATTACTTAAAAGTTGAAAATTATACACCAGCATGAAAACCTAAATCTTTTATATACAGTATGTAGCTTTTTAAAGCTAAGTGTTTCCCATTTTATGTTTGTAGCCAATATTTCTGTCATCTTCATTTAATTCTCTGCATTTGATACATATGAAATACTATCATTGTCTGCCCGTTGCTGATCTAAAGCCTTTTGGATTTATTTTGCAGCTTTTGCAGTTTTTGCTAATTCTTCTAGTTTGGTATTATCTGCAAAATAGACTAGATTTCTTTCTATGCCAAAATCTAGATTTGTGATATAAATCAGGAAGACCAGTGGTCCTGATACAGACTCATGTGGTACCACACCAATTGCTTCACCTTAATTTTTAGCATTTACACCCTTATCTGAATCCTCTGTTTCCTGTCTATTAACCAATTTATAATCCAAACACAGATTGTTTTCAATTAATGTTCCTGAAAAATATTACCTAATTCAAACTAAAATAAAAACCATCTCCCATTAAGAATGTATGTAAATACAGAGGGAAGATTCCTTGTAACCAGAGTTTTTAAGTCCTAAATAAAAACAATTACACATTTTGTTTGTTAACAATTATCAATTTCATGTAAAACATGAAGGAAAAGTGATTGTTTTGTGGTGGGTGGTGAACAACTGTGATGAAGCTTTAATCACATCACCATAGACACAACTGGACTGCCCAACTACCTTTGATGCTTTTAATCTTACTGAACCATTTAAATCCCATGATACAGTACTATACACTTGTAAGCATATGGTTGTAGCTGATTATTTTTACATTTATTAAATCATATTATTTGTCAAATGCATGTTTGTATCAATTACTCCTGAAGAGATGATTCTCTAGTGTATCTAATTAAATGTGTTCATCTCTATTGTGTAATTAATAGAACGTTGTTGCCACAATTTGGAAAATCCCAGTATAAAAGTGTACAATTATTTGGTTTTGGGACATTGTATTAAGAAATCAAGAATCAAGTGTTTTATAAATGAAATGTTTATCCTGCTACAAATCAGAAATGTATTCTGTATACAGTACCAGAGGGACTATGCAGTTTTAACCTAGTTTACATATTGTATTCCTTTATTAAGATCACCTGGTTGCATATTTCCAAATCTTCTTCTTCCCCAGAATAAACATTTCAGAAGAATGGATTATGAATACCATTATTGTAAACTAAGATAAGCAAATAAGTCACTTAAGGGCAAGTGCTTAAGGTTTCTTTTAGTTATGATTGAGGTCTTCAAAAGGCCAGTGAAGCCCTGCAGTAATGCAGTATACACCACACAGTTTTGTTTACTCCACTGAAAGACTGCAGCAAAGTGACAGACTGACCAGAAAGCCAAGAGGGCTCAATAGGATTTCCATCAATTGATTTCAAATTTTGAGTTAAGTGAAGTACTGATTTTTTAAAATTTAATTTTAATTTAATTTTTTGTGCTGATCTTTTCAGCCTAAGGTCTTAAACAGGTTATACCAATTTTATTTTTTTGGTTAAAGATATAATAATATTTTTAAAAATACATATTAAACAATGAATACATACTAATACATATACAACGAAGTCACATTTTATTTTACATTTAATCACTGACCCTATATCCTGTAAAACATTTAATTATCATCTGCCGTATACTGTATAGTGTCCTTGTATCTGATGTATTTGTCCTTGTATCAATTACAACAAAATATTGAGGTAATATCAAAAGTAGAGGTTATTTTGAGCTGAAAAGAAAAAAAGAAAAACCAATATCTCCACAGCGGAATACTGTTAAGGTATTTTTCTTCTCCCTACTTCTCAGCTTTGAATTTTGAGCTTTGCTTGTTTAGTTAAGACAGCTCACATGCTGCCACATTGCCTCACTCTAATCACTAAAAATAATATATTGGCTTTA